CAAGTAAGTTTCCTTTGGTCACGTGGAGTGGTTCAATACCGACACCGTTCCTAGCCATAATTGTTAGCGACACCGAATGCTGCATTGACCAACTCATGAAGATTCCTTCTAACAATCTTGCTACGCGACAATTATGAAAAACGATACCGTATCACTTTTAGATACCAAATTTTTGGCAATTTTTAATGTTTTTTTGAATTTTTTCTATTTAATGAGTTATTTATTTTATGACATTTTAATGTGCGTTTTTCTCATTTTTACAGGTTTCTTTTAGGAAATGAAAAAACAAAACACAAAAAAAAAAATAAACAAAAAAAGAAAATCAAGAAATGTAATTTGGTAAGATTTTCAATCAACAAGAATGAGAAAGTGTAAGGAATGTAGAGTTGATATTAATTTACCTGCACAATCTCTCACACAATTTGTGTTGGTGCATGGTAACCAAAGATGTTGATCGTCAAACCCACCCCCACGCCAATAGCATACCTCACCTGCGGCCAACCAAAAATCATCTTGCACCTCAGATCACGTCCTTGTTTCATCACACAGGTGATATTTCCTACCGTCGTTCGAATTAAAATAGGAATTCCAGCGCCGGAGAGCGTATCCATATCAAAGTTGGGAGAAGGGTAAGTGAGAAACACTTTAGCCTCCTCGGGAATTAGTAGTCCGTTTCCGTCACTCATATGCACCGTCTTTTGGGCGAAAAAACTTGAGAGATTTCTCACGTAGTCCCCCACTTGGAAGAGATCGTAAAGAAAATTAGGTCGCTGGCTAGCAGCCATGATAGATGGTTAGCAGGAGAGAAAAGAAGTATCACCTAAAATTTACTTTTTCTCGGTACAGAATCCACTATCTAATACATGCAATGCAATGCATGAATGTTGGTACAAGTGAGTTTTCTTTGGTCACGTGGAGTGGTCCAATACCGACACCGTACCTGGCCATAATTATTAGCGACACCGAATGCTGCATGGACTAACTCCTGAAGATTCGTTCTAACAACCTTGCGACGCGATAATTATGAAAAACGACACCGTATCACTTGTAGACACCCAATTTTTGACAATTTTTAATGTTTTCTTGAATTTTTTCTATTTAATGAGTTATTTATTTTATGGCATTTTACTGTGTATTTTTCTTATTTTTGCAGATTTGTTTTAGGAAAAGAAAAAACAAAACACAAACAAACAAACAAACAAACAAACAAAAAAGAAAATCAAGAAATAAAAAATTATCCGGCACGGCTGCCATGACCGCCGAAGCTTTACCCTACCGTAGAAGGAATAAGAAGAAACGAGAGAAAGAAGTAGAGAAGGAAAAGAAAGGAAAGAAAATAAAGAAAAGAAAAAGTGTTGGGCTAATGTTTTATTTTCGATTGGGCCAAGAGTTATCTTTTGTGTTGGGTTCAGTTGGACTTGTATTCGGACTTGTGGTTCAAACCCAATCCCTTTTCACCAGGCTTAGCTTAGTAAATTTAGCGGGTTGGCCCGTATCTTTTAACATTGGGTTTTTTATGGGTCAGATGGCCTTTGGCCCGCAAAAAAATAGAGAATGACCCAGTGGCCTGTTGTCTTAAGAAGATCCGCTAGTGAAATTGCATATTAGTCCCTGTATTTTGGAATAACTTTACTGTGGCTCAGAATATTTTAAATTTCTTTCACTTAGGTCCTTAAATTAATTTCACTTTGGTCCTTAAACTTTATCTTTATTTAATTTTGGCCCCTAAATTTTGAAAAAAATCATATTTTTAACCCCAAAAGTTTTTCACTTTTTGCAATTTAGTCCTTAGTGAATTTTGACTCTTTTTATTATGATTGTTTCTTTTCTTTAATAGCTAATTATGTTACTTTTGAATATATTTAACTTGTCATTTTTAGATGTTCTTAAGTTTCTTTATATTTGACATATTAATTTGAATTAGTATTTTTATCATTATTATTATTTTTTCAATTAAATTGGTGCCATGATTCTTTTGCTCATTTTGAGTATAAATAGGGTAATTTCGCTCCATTTAGTCACCATTTCAAAAGGGAGGTACCCCTATTATTATTATTTCAATGTAAATTAAGTGTTCTTATGTGCTCCTATGTGTTTATATATTTTTATATGTTTTATTTATTTGATTTAAAATGTTCATACAAATTTTCTTATATTTGTTTAGTTAATTTTTATAATTATTTGAGAAGCATTTAAATATCTCAAAAATGTAATAGATAGGATAACTAGATTTGTTTTATTATATTTTTTTCACTTTAGATTGTAATTAGGTCCCATATTGTAATAGTTAGGATAGTTAGGTTTATTTTATTATATTTTTCCTTTTTAGGTTGTAGTTAAACTCCCTGCTATAATAGGTAGGTTCTGTGTTTATGTGGCTTATGTGTTATATGTTTTATTCGCTTTTCTTAGGATTTTTGCATCTAAATATTATGTTTACGTGTTACGTGTTACGTGCTCTCATGTATTTATTTGTTTTAATTTATGTTTTATTTGTTTTACTGTGTATTATGAATGCATGACGTCACCACACCAGTCCAATGCTAGTTGTGGTTTCTCCCTCCACCTACTTGCAAGTCCAACGCTAGTAAGGTTCTTTAGAAATGGGCTAGTCCAACGCTAAACCCGTAGATCGTTCACGCGTTAGATTCATCTTTTATATGATATCCATTACATTCTCATGCATATTTTTATTTTTATGATCTTTTCTCATTTGCATGATATTTCCTATTATATTATCCTCTATCCTCTATATGTGTTAATCATATCATTTAGAATTGCATCTCATTTAAAAAATTGTAAAATAAGTTAGTTCATTTGCTTGTTGATGTTAGGAGAATTATTTTTCAAATATGGGAAATGGGTGATTATAACGTTTTAGTTTAAATATCCCATTAATCTCTGTATAAGAAAATTATGTCACGAATTTTTGCCTTCCATACCCATTATATTGCATTCCCTATTCTTTGGCCACTTATACCTATATATATAATTGAACTTTTTTTTTTAATTTCATCATTCGCATACTCGTGACCCCTTCGAGAAATTATTTTGGCCTTCACAATTAATGCGATTGGTATCAATTAAACCCTTGAATGGACATTTTGCCCCTCTCAACATTTTTATAAATTTAGATGTGTATTCATGTAGGAAACATCCAAACGTGATAAATTTTAAGGGTTAGATTAGAAAATTTTTTACTAAATCTTGCAACTAGCTTAGATTAGATTGAAAAGGTGTCTTAGATTTGAGTTAATCGTACATTTGCCTTCTCTTTCTTCAACCGTGACTCTCGAACTCATTTTCTCTTGTTTTTTAAAAACCTGGAGTTGTCGAAAAGGGTTTTATTTTATTTTTGTCAAAAAATATTTTTGGGTGACTTGGTACACTCAAACTCAATACCAAGTGACGACTCCTCTTTTTCTTAAAAAATTCTTTTAAACTAAATTTTGGATCCAAACTGTCGCATTCTTTGAAGTCCCATTCTAGGTCATTTTTCACTTATTTTTAAAAAAAAAATCACATCTTTTATAAATATTTATTTTCATCGCAAAAAATGGGGCGCGACATCACTAATTCTGCTAAATAAGTAAAAACGACATAGTTTACAACTAATTATGTTAAATGAATATAACGACACCGTGACTGCTACACCCTACTCCAGCTTGTCCTGTGACAAGAAGTTTGCGGTGTGAATAGCTAGAGAATGACCAGTAGATTAGTTTGCTCTGTTTTTCGCTTTGCATGCGCGCTAGTATATAAAGAACAGTTCCAGTTGTTGATTAATCAGCTTGGGAAGAAACATTAAGTTCGATAGGTACTATTTTGATGTGGAGAGATTCTCCTGCTGACTATTAGCTTTCAAATTTCGCAGTTTGGATAGATTCTTATATACATGGAAAACAAGGCCCTTGGCAATTTAATGTTTTTCTCATTTTGATTTCCCTTTCTGCATTCCTTTTCCTAGACCACCCTCTGCATCAAAAGCTTTTTCCAGCTCCTCTCCCTATCCTCATTGAATTTGATTTCCCTCAAAATATCTGTGCTTCTGTCAATGATGGCTACCACTCTAAAGAATGGTTGGGTTTGAAGGAGAGGAGCTGCAAGCATGGTTCAAAGTCGCGGTCGCGGTCACGGTCACGGCCCGGAATGTTCCACATCGGTCTTGGCATATCGGTCGCGGTCTCGGTGAGACGCAAATTTTAAAGTATTTAATATTCTAAAAATTGTTAATAATATAAAAAAAGTATGCTAAACAAAAATAATAAAAAATAGCAAAAGAAATGGCCGAGTCAATCCGTCACGGTGTAACTCGACCGATTTCTCGTCTTGACTCGGGATAACTCAGAATGACTCGGTGTGACTCGGTCGAGTCAATCCGTCGCGGTGACGTCTCGGCCGATTTCTCGGTGAGTCAAGTATCTCGGTATCGTTTCGTCACGGTATCGTATCGGTAGGGGCCGAGACGGTGACAACTCGGCCGAGTCGTCTCGGTCTCGGCCGAGACTTCGAACCATGGCTGCAAGACATGGTGCAACTTATTATCAGATTCTTGGTTTGTGGAATTTCGGGAGATTAAATGCACAAAAGAGCTTCATTTCTTTTACGTAGAACATGTAGCATGTGCTCGTGATAGCAGTAGCTGCACCCTTCAATTTACATTCGTAGATAAAGAAGGATGTAGCTAGTATTGTGCAAGAATTCACTAAGGTAAATATTGCATGGGATGTTACATCATGTTGGCCATTTGCAATGGCCTTGTATATGCCTACAAAAAGAGAAACTAGGCCTCTTTATCTATATAACGTTCACAAACTTGTAACCCTCCCAGAGGGCTCTCAACAAACATGTGGTCATGCAATTGGATTGGGCATGTTCCCTCCACATGAGTGTATTTAGCCAGCAAGGCACGTATCAAAGCGATACAAACATTAATTCATGTCAGTTGTGAGATGTTTAGCATTCGACTTGAAGGCGATAAATAGTTCCCCATATTGGACAAGGTGGAGCAGGGGGATCTGGAGATGATAATTAGTGAAGTTTGAAGCTAGTAAGCTTGGCTTTAGCCATTTAAGGTAATGCACTTTTTTTTTGGGTCAATGTTATGGTTTCAAGCTTGATGCTTTGTACTTAGTGTTTTCTGCAGCAACTGCAGCTGATGAAGTGTCTATAGGATGCGCTATATTTGGAAAAACATTAAGAAAAAGGATAAAAAGTGTTTCCAGTAACTTTGGTTCAAATCTAGTCTAGCTTCTTGTTACTTTGTTGCCATTGTAAGGACAACATCAGTAGTGTGGTTCTTAATTAGAACTAGTTTTTAATGCAGGACTACAAATTTGGCTAAAGAAATTGCTGCGTGATTCTACACAGAGAAATAGCAGATATGTGATTAAAGGGAAAAAAGACATAGTGAAATTTATTTAACTTAAAAAATGAAAGCAGATATGTGATTAAATAACAAAGGATTCAAATGACAGGGAAAAAAATTGGCACTTCCACCAAAATTTTTGTCTTGGGCCTGGTATCCATTTGTACACACAAGACCATTTGGACGTATAAAAAGCCCTACTTGCCAAATCACATTTCACCTTGTGTGTCCCAACCATAGTTATTAAACCCAACCCGGGAAGGAACCCGGCGAAGGAGGTGGGTCAACGGGTTACTGGTTTAACCGGTGGGTGAGTGGTTGAACCGGTGGGTCACTACATATATTTAAATATTATATTTTATAATTATTTATATAAGATATATGATATAAATTGTAATAAATAATGCTGTAACAAAAGCTCATTTAATTTAATTTGTTATAAAATAATTAATTCATATAAGAATCAATCAAATATAAAGTTATTTATTAATATACCAAACTTCAAGTGTAAAATTTTATCTATATTTAGTGTAATTATCTAGCTTATTTATGAATTTTAAGTGTAAAAAATTATTAAAAATAATATTTGTCTTTAAATGAATTATGTAATATGTTATTTTTGAAATCCATTTTATAACTTATAGAGTTTGGAGGGTAATAAATTTTTATTAAAGGATTCCAAATAAATTTGTTTTAGAGAAAAAAAGATAGAATTGAAAAAACATTTATATACCATAATAAAGCTACCATATCATCATATTTGGAAGTAGTTTGGTGGTAAGTAGGCGATAGTGTTGGGGTAAAGGTCCGAAGTTCGAGTTCCAGCAACAGCAATATAATTTTTCCACAAAATTCGGTTAGTGACAAAACCGGCCAAAACCGGCCGGGTTTCCGGTTTAATCCGGTTCGACCGCCGGATCGTTGACTAAGTCAACGGTCTCTTTGCACAAACGATCTGATTCCAAATCCGGCCCGGTCCAATGACCGGTCCACCGGTTTAACCGGTTCGACCATCGGGCCGGGCCGGGTTTAATAACTATGGTCCCAACAGAGCTCTCTTTTTGTACTGATCCAAAATAAATTTTTGGGCAAATTATACTTTAACCCCTTGTGGTTTAGTGTTTATTTACATAACCCCCTATAATTTTAAAAGCTATACATAATCCTCATATAGTTTAGATTAAAGTGTCAAAATGACGAAATTTGCAATCCATAATGGAGTCAGTCAAAGTAACTTTATTTAAAGTTGAAAATTATTTATTAAGCACAGTGGGATTATGTATATATATTGACCAGAAGGAGGTTATATGGTAAAACACTAAACTATATGGTAAAATATAAAATCATACAGGGTTAGAGTGTCATGCATATTATGTTTATATATTTTGGTCATTTCAGCCATTTTAGTTTTTAAATAAGGGTAATTTTGATATTTTAATAGGTTCCGTTACTTTGACACTTTAATCCAAATTGTGAGGGAGTTATATATAACTTTCAAAATTATAGGAGATTATGTGAAAATTAGCTATACCACAGGAGGGTAAAGAGTAATTTGCCCTAAATTTTTTCCACATTTACTTTATAATGGCAATATTATTAAGTGATACTCAGAACCCTATATTAATCGAAACCCAGTCCCAAGCCCAAATAGTAATTGTAGACTAGTAGTGTACCTTCAATTGAAATCGCATTTGTTATTAAATAACAGAAGGATTCAAATGACAAGGAAAAAATTGGGGCATTTACCTTATAATGGTAATATTTCTAAGTGAAGCTCAGAATCCTCTGTCAATTGAAAACGAGATCCTAGCCCAAAAATTGTAGTGGTTTTCTTTTTAAATTGTCCTTTGAGTATCACTATTTATTGACTCATAAAACTCTAGAGCCCTCACTGTATACTTTAAAGCAAGAATAATCTTCGAAACTGTAGAAATGGCAGAACTACCAATTGAGGTGCTGAGTGGTATACATTTTTTTTTTTTTTTACGGAAACGTTAGGAAATATATTGTTGAGTGGTATACTATCAAGGGTTCCTTTCAAAACCATCTCCAATTGCTAGTGTGTCTGCAAGACAGGGTGCAAACTTATTATCGAATTCTTGGTTCATGAAATTGCGGGAGACTAATGGAGAAAAGAACTTCGTTTCTCTTACATAGAAGATGTACCATTTTCCCGTGATAGAAATCTCTGTACCGTCAGATTTACATCTGCAAATAAAAAGATCGTGTTGTGTAAGAATTTACTGGTCAAGTATGTGTGTGTGTGCACGCGCATATACATACATACATATATACATATACACTCAACTCAATTTTATCAAACTCAAATTCGATCTCGAGATCGACCTCAAATTCGAGTCTAGTCGAGTTCGAATTCGAGCCTATTGAAGCTTTAAAAAAATAATTATTTTATTTTTTAAAAATGAATAAAATATTTATTTTTCTTAATAAATAATAAAAATATTAGAGATATATTTATATATATTTACATATATACACACACACACACACACATATATATATATATATATATATATATATATATATATATAACATTGAGTCAACTTGCGAACTAACGAATGAAACTTCTCAATGTTTGAATCGAGTTTGATAGCTCAATTTGGTAGGGTTGCACTCGATTTGAGCTGATGTTGATTGAACTCGGCAACATCAAGTTCAAGTTGAGCTTTGATCTGACAAGTTCGAGAGTGATTTGATTTATTTACAGTCCTAAATAAAAATCATCTTCTATTACTTTTGTACCGTTCCTACTAAAATAAATAAATGTATGGTACAAGAGATTTGCACCATGGATTTAGTGGCATATTATTAGAGTACCAAAAATAGTGAGGTTTTTTTCTTTGCTGAAAATAATGCAAAGAATTAAATTTATCACTTAGAAATTTCCCAATTAAATAACCAGGCATTTCAGATCTTTGCACTATCATTTGTACACGCTACCTGAACTTAGTTGTCTTTCCATGTGGAAAGGGAAGAAAGTAAGATGAAAAACGGTGTCTTAATTCGTGTTCAAATTGTCTTTGATAATGCTTTATTATTATCTTTCTTTTGTCTATGAAGAAATTTCAATACTAGTGTTTAGTAGTAAATTTGCAGGAAATGAAACTGCGCATAGATTCTGATATATTAATCTCCAAGATTAATTTACTTATTTCTTGATTACACTCTGTTGAACTTCAAAATTTTTCTTTTGGTAGGTTTCCATTATACAGAAAATCTTTTCTTTGCCCCTGTAGCAATAATTAGATGTTTTACAATATTTCACCTTTTTGGGCAAAATGATCTCATTGAAAATTCGAAGAGAAACTTTTAAGATTAAATTGCACCGATTTTTTTTTTTTTTTTTTTTGGTTTTGGGTCCTATGGAGGGCCTCTGCCACAAAAGACTACCAGAAAAATATAATAAAATTTGTAATGATTCTGAAAGACAGAAGACTATGACCTGAGACAAGTGAAGTAGAATCTTTTGTAAATATTAAGGATGCTAGAAAATAAGATTTTTTTTCCCTTACATATAAATTCCCTAACGATCTGTAATCCGTTTTTCAAATTTGTTGTTGGACTATTACTAATTTGAACATAAAACTACAAGGGAATGGCGTTCATAATTCTGAGGTTTCATTATGACCCCCAATAACTTGAAAACTGAGGACAAATTACTTGAATTGAATGTCATACGCTAAAAAATCAGTGTAGTCGAAGTAGTCTCCCCATGCAGTTATGCATTTGACAGTTAAATTCACAAGAAAAATTTATCATTTCAAGTGCAGCGATTAAATCCATCCTAATCAAATTATGCCCATATAAATCCCCCTCATCTTCTAACCGAAGTATATATCAGCATCAACATTATTATATCTGATACTACTACCACTATTCTTTTAGCGATTAAGGTTGAAGGGCATTTGAGATGGATAACAAAAGTGGCAGCAAAGAAACTGGAGCAGTTGCCCGAGCTGGTGGTGGCGGCAAAGAAACTGGAGCAGGTGCAGCAGGAGCTGATGGTGGGACTAACAAAGGTGGCAACAATGATCTGATCATTAAGGCTCCTGGTGGTGATGGAGCATATATATCAAGGACGGGCTTTGAGAACGATCCTAAGGGCTACTTTTCTGAGCTGCATCCTAAGGAGAAGGCCAGCAAATGAAGAAGGGATGTTGGGTTTCTAAAGATAGATAAAAACTTTGGCTGTCAACTCTAAAATTTGGATCAATAATGGAATAATACATTTAAGTATTAATTTATTTCTTGTTTCAAATAATTTTTTTAGTTTAAGTATTTCCTTGATTTTCTTGAGTTTGCATAAAATTCTAAACCATAGAAAACAATCACTGAAGGCTACTTCTCGAGTTCACGTGGTAGCCAGAAGGGCAAATGAACCTTTATGTTGAATAAGATGTTAGAATCTATTATAAACATCAACTCTATGTTGAATTATCAGCTCCCAATGGTTAGGATCAACAGTTAATTTTATTGGAGAATTAAACTATTTATATTGCTTGGATTTTTACCTGTTAAGAATCCTAAATCGCACCTAACTTGTTATATGAATGCGCACACACATATTTACTATCCCCTACATTTAGATATTTTCTTGAATTGGTTTTATTGTTATCAAAAAAGTAACACTTGAAACTGTCTTAATCCCCAAACCCAAGTCCATAAACTAAAAAAATAAACCAAAAATTTCAAGAGTTCTAACATAGTGCCAACACTTTGTAATTTTTCATCAGCTCTCCATAGCTCTCCCAGTAGTAACCAAAGCTCCGCCGATCACATGCTGCAGGCTTAGGTTGTTCAACACTTGCAAAAGTTCCCTGCCCACCATAAATCTAGGAATAATATGTTTATCCCTCGGCTCTAAGATGATGTTATGTGTTTTGGTCCAAATGCCCTTCTCATAATTTTTAAGCATCCACAGTTGGATCAGATGATCCGCACTTTCACAATTAATTAGGCTCAACCAACCTCCCAAATCCAGCAGAATAAAGGGTATCAAGTTTTCATGTTCGTAATCTGATGGATGAGGGAAATAGCCAAAAGTCTCACTTGCCAAATCAAAGGACATATTATCAAGGTGTGGAGAAGGACACTCACTATTGATTACCTAATGAAGACATCCATCAGCAAAAACAGCGTAATTTCAAATGGGATACGGGCACCGGGATTCAAGAATCTGATGGTGAATAATTATCACCTTCATGTCAAATGTCGAAGATTTCACAACCGAAATCATCTTTTACATCGTCTCCATACGTAGATTTTGTAGTAAATATTGTCACCACTGCATGCCTTCCTGTGGGAAATACATATCCAAAACCAAGTATAGGGTCACACAAATAAAGAGGTCTAATTTCGACGATATAAATGATGAAAGAAAGAAAAGTTCACAAGTTGTTTTGCAAGAAAAAATATATATATATATATATGTTGGCCTAATCAGCAACATCCCTCAGATCCCGGTTCGACGGGACTAACCGCCCAGCCCGTGGCACCCAGGGGTGCAGACCCTCATGCTGGCCGAGCGTGGTTTGGTGCAATGGTAAGCGCTTGATCCTGACAAGTGGTATCAGAGCGAGGTCGCGAGTTCGAATCTCCCTGGCTGTTGCTGGGGGAGGGATTGTTGGCCTAATCAGCAACATCCCTCAGATCCCGGTTCGACGGGACTAACCGCCCAGCCCGTGGCACCCAGGGGTGCAGACCCTCATACTGGCCGAGCGTGGTTTGGTGCAATGGTAAGCGCTTGATCCTGACAATATAAACAACAATGTTAGTTGATTTATTTATTTGTTATTGATTGCTGTTAATAACTGGGGGGAAGGGGAAAGAGTTGGGTTGAGTGGTAAGATAGGAGAAATTATAAATAAGAAATTATGAATTCAAACCCCCCCCCCACAAAAAAATTTATCCAAAAAAAAGGAAGAGTAAGAGAATTATAGGATTAAGTGGATATTATGATTCCATCACATAAATTTTTGGAGTGCCAAAATCATAGGGAGTTATGTAGTTATTTTGAAAACTTGAAAGGTAGGGGGGAGGGTGTGATGTGGATGCATGAAAAACCACAAGGAATTTACCTATGTTGCGGCTAGCTAGAAAACTCAACTCATGTCTCTATGATTTGTAAGTAAATTGGAAAAAATATTATTGAACACTAGAATTGAAATATATATTAAACAAGGCAAAAGTGTATTGCTATCCTCATAAAGGAGGAAAAAAAAAGTACAAGCAGAAGCAGATAAACTAGGGAAAAAAAAACAAAAAGAATACCAAGATTCCTAACATAATGCTAGTACTTTGTGATTTTCCATCAGATCTTCGTAGCTTTCCCAGTAGTATCCAAAAGTCCACCCATGAGATCCTGCAGGCTCAGGCTTTTAAACTCTTCTAAAAGTTCGCGTGTCAATGTCGTAGTAGAGTCTGTATTTACAATGCCAAGGTGCCATCAATAATTCCCTGCCCACCATAAATTTAAAGCTTATGTCATCTTCCCAAGGCAGAGGGTCTAACATGATGTAATGTGTTTCGGTCCAGACACCTTTGTCATAATCGTCAAGCATCCATAGTCGAATCAGATTTTGATACCCTTCAAACTCAAGTAGGCTAAGGGTACCTGCCAAATCCAACACATAAATGGAACTTTCTTGTTCATGCTGGTAATCTAGAGGATGGGGGACATACCCAAAAATTTCACTAGCCAAATTGAAGAAAATTATGGCATTATCATGATCTGGTGGAAAAGGACAGTCATTATTGACTACCCAGTGAAGACGTCCATTAACAAACACAGCGGTACTACGAATTGGATATGGGCATTTGGATCGATTAATGACTCTCCAAGAATCTGATGATGAATAATAATTGCCTTCACGTTTAATGCTAAAGATTTCACAACCGAAATCACCGTCTATGTCATCTCCGTGCACAAATTCTGCAGTGAATATTCTCACAACTTTGTTCTCTCCCGTAGAAGGTACATGTCCAAAACCAATTGCATGACCCCATGTTTGTGGAGAGCACTCTGGGAGATTACAAATTGGTGAGTTATAGGATTACATAAATAAAAAGGCCAAATTATCCCCCCTAAAAAGTTTATTTTGTAAATACACAGTAGCCCGTTGCAGGGGTCCAACACCATGTTTAGTCCTCCACCCGTATAGTGTTTTCCTCCACCCGTATAGTATTTTCCTTCCTTAGTGAATTCTTGCACAATGCTACGACCTTCTTCATCTGCGGATGTAAATTGGAGGTACAGCGATTTCCATCACGGGAACATGCTAAATCTTGTATGTAAAAGAAACAGGTTTTCTCCACTTAGTTTCCCACAATTTCACGAACCAAGAATCCGATAATAAGTTGCACCATGTCTTGCAGACACACTTGCATCTGAAGAGGGCTTTCAAATGAAGCCTTGATAGTACGTCAGTCACTATCTCAATTGGGAGTTCTGCCATCTTCCTCTCTCAATGTTAAACTCACTCCCTAGAACTTTTCTTTTCTTTCGTATATTGTTTTGAAGAAATTCTTGTTTCAAAGTTTATGTGACTGTGCTAGGTTTTATGAGCCGATTCAATCCGTAGAGAGACTTAAAAGGGCAATTTTGAAAGTAAAGCACTACAATTTAGGCTAGGATCTCGGTTTCAGTTCATTGAGGATTCTAAGTATCACCTAGAAATATTATTGCCATAATAAGCTAAGTGTCCTAGTTTTATGCCTTGTCATTTAAATCCTTCCATTTTTTACTCAGTCACAAATTCGATTTCAAAACGAACACTACAACTATTTGGGCTAGGGACTAGTTTTCGATAGATATGGGATTCTCAGTGTGTAACTTAATACTTTTGCCATTATAAGGTAATTGTCGATTTTATTTTGGACTGGCCCAGTAAGAGAGCTCCATTTGAACGCCCAAGGGGGAATATAAAGTGGGGTTTTGTTTGTCCAAATGGATACTAGGTCCAAGATGAAACTTCTAATAGATTGGCCCATTTTTTGGGAAAATACCGGTTTTCATCCCCAAACTTTGGACACAAGACACATTTCGTCCCTCATCTTTCGGGCATGACATATTTGGTGTCTGAATTAACAATTTTTGACCAAATGTCATCCTCAGACGGCAATTTAGCCAACCTTTAACGGAACCGGTCACGTGATTTAAGTAAATGTGGCTATCCGAAGCAAAATCAGGTGGAAAATGACGTTGTCTTCACTTTACCTTTTTCTTTCACTTCAACAACTTCCTCTGCAAATTTCCAAGACTACGCTCCAACTGCAAATTTCTCCGAGAGTAAACCCCCTCTTCCAATTAGAAATATATAATTATAATTATATAATACATATAAATATTACTTATACTAATATTTTATATAATTATAATGTATATTAGATATTAAATTTAATCATTATATAACATTATATTCATAATAATAAATATAAATACAATTATATAATTTATTAATATTATATACACATATATATTATAAGGGATAATTTCAGAAACCCCCCCTGAATTAGCTTATGGAAAAATGGGAAAATGGATAATTTATGGAGGAAAACCATAAAGAGCTGGTGTTTTATTGGAGAACGGGTTTATTTTTATTTTATCAGATAAATAAATTTGTTTATGAAAAAATAGGTACTCTATTCTTATAATGGAGGAAAGCCATAAAGAGCTGGGGCTATTGAAAAACGGGTTTATTTTTATTTTATCCAATAAATAAATTTGTTTATGGGAAAATGGGTACTCTATTCTTATAATGGAGAAAAGTCATAAAGAGCTGGTCTTTTATGAGAAAGTGATACTTTACAGAAAGTGACCGCGATTTGGTTTATGAAATTATCCAAAAAAATTTAGAATGAATTTGTTTATTTAATTAAATAATTTTTATATATATTTATATAATGCATTATATAATTATACTAATATATTATATGAGTATAAAGTATATTATATATTAATTATAATTTTTAGTATATATTTGTATATTTATAATAATAAATATAAATATAATTATATAATATATTATTACTATATACGCATATATATTTAAATATATGCACATATAATGTACATTTATAAATATATATAAATATATTATTAGGGTATATACCCTAATAACTATAACATATTTAGGGTAATAACTATAA